CTAGCCATAATGGCTTGAGAGTCAATTCGGCACAGATAACATTATCTTCACTTAATGATAGTCTAGCATCCATAGCTCTTAAGGCTGCAAACATCTTTTGGCTTAAGGCATCCGCTACCACATTTGTTTTTCCCGGATGAAAATCAATCACAACATCATAATCCTTGAGAAATTCCACCCATCTTCTCTATCTTAAATTTAACTCTTTCTGAGTCATCAAGTACTTTAGACTCTTGTGATTTGTATATAAATAACATTTTTCACCATACAAGTAGTGACGCCAAATTTTAAGAGCAAACACTAATGCAGCCATCTCCAGATCGTGCGTTGGATAATTCTTTTCGTGCGGTTTTAATTGCCTCGATGCATATGCTACCACCTTGCCATCTTGCATCAACACACATCCCAACTCATTATGGGATACGCCACTATATTCCGGCTTCACCGCATCGAAAACAGACTCTAGAAGCTATTCGACATGTTCCAAAATGATTTTTCCCACAATGCTGACACTGTCTTGCTTGACCCGGAGTGGATCTCCCAATACCAGATCCCACTGATTGTGTATGTCGAGCTCTCATCTGACTTGCTCCTCTAGCAGAAGATGCAATTGATTCTGATCTAGCTTGAGGTCAGAATCTTGAATCTCTTCCTCTTTTTGGTAGTGTTTTGCTTGAAAAAACACCTATCCTCTTAAATGTTTGAACTTTTGAGTCCCCAAATCTCTCATTTTGAGCTCTTTCAAGAGCTTTAGCACGATTAATCACCTCTTGGAATGAGGATAAGTTCAGTACTATCATCATCTCTTTCAATCTAGGGCGCAAGCCCTCCACAAACCATTCACAAGCATCTTTTTCTGTAGTCACAAGCTCTGAAGCAAACCAACTCAGCTTATTAAATTCACATTCATATTCGTATACAGAGTGATTCATCTGCTTCAAATTCATAAACTCCTGCTTCATTTGTCTGATGAATTGATCTCCAATAAACTTGTGTTTAAATTCCTCCAAGAACAGAGACCACGTCAACTGGTCACTTGACATCCTCATGGTGAAATTCGTCCACCATATCCCGCTTGACCCCTTAGTAATGACACAACTCCATCCAGCTTCTCTACTTCAGAACAGTGAATACCATATAACATGATTTTCAAATCATTCAGCCAAATATCTGCTGCAACCGGACCTTCCTCAGCTTCTCCCTTAAATTCGGGAGCTCCTAATCCTCTCAACTCCTTTGCTACATTTACTCTGGGAGTTGATGGAGCAGGAGGTTGGAAACGCGTCAATACTGCATCTAATGTTCTAAAGAACACATCTTGATCAGTTACAGGCACTCCAGAAGGTGTCTGTTCTTCACTATGCCTGGCCAGGGCAGGTGAATTACTGCTTTCAGCGGGTCTATCATCTCCCGCTTCATTCTTATAACTACCTTGTCCGGACATCTATAAAAATACAACCATATAATTCTATTAGCAAAACAACATACTTATTATTCCATCAGATCAGAAGTTTTCACTATTTGTTGGCATGTATATATTATACAACATTTTAGACTCTGGTTTATGCCGAGAATCGACTAAACCTTAGCTCTGATACTATTAAATATAACACCTCAACCCGTACCCGATCTGAATATGAGTCTAAGATGTCACATTGCCTTTTTAAAATATTTTTCCTTACAAAATAACAAAACATTTGAACTTATTTTAAGAAAATACTATAATAAATTATTGAATTATGTTTATTATAAAATTTTAGGCAAAAACGTATTTGTGTACATTAAAATACGTATGAAAAATAGTACCGATTACATAAATTTTCCAAAATGCAAATAGGGAATCGGTACCCTGCTACAGGGAATCGATTCCCCTGCTACAGTACTGCTATAGTACTTTCGTAAAACGTACATAAAACTCGTTAAAATTTAACCGTTCATTACTATACATTTACATAAATACGTTCAAAACATTATAAAAGTCGATTAGAGCATTAGTACTAATAACTTATTACATTTCTTACATGCCAACATATTATACACAATCAAAATACATACTTTATTAATTACTTTTGATCTGATCTTCTAGCAGTGTTGCTGTTTTTGCCACTTCTATTTCTGCTAATCTTGGTTCTTCGTACCTACGTGTAAATCGCTTACACGCTAAGTCATAGAATTAGTGAGGCATAATGATAATAACAATGATATATAACAATGATGCTATAATAAAATGAAACGTAACGAAAACATATATGCAATCAATGTAAGCTACATAACAATGTAACTTACCAATAATCTTCTCAATTTAATCATCATAAATTCATATAATAAATTCCGTAAGTTCAATAGATTCAATAGCCCATGATACAATACTGAGAACCCGAGGTATGTGAGTACTGTGAGGTTGTGCACTATGCTGTCACCACAGCTCATATAAATTTGCACCGAAGTGCCACGTAGAATTTATCCCAAAGGACCGCGTAGAGATGCACCGAAGTGCCACGTAGAATTGCACCGTAGTGCCATATAATATGTCCCTAAGGACTACATAGAAATTCCTTAAGAATCATATACATATACCAAGGATCAAGTAAATGTCTCAAAAGACATCATACATGCTCCAAAGAATACATATACGTCCCGAAGGACCACGTAGAATTTTGTCCCGAAAGACCGCGTAGACCCTCTACTCTTGGCATGCCAACTATACCTATAGTTCTCATCTACATAACAGGGCTTTTACATTTCACATAGTTTATATCGCGTAGACATGTAACTTCTTACCTTTATCACATAGCTCATATCATCTTTTCATGTAATCATATAACTCCATGTTGCATAACTGGTCTCACATTTTCATGTAATACATAAATCAGGTAAAATAATGCATATAACACACATAACATATGATCATAGTAATGTACACTTAGAAGTCATATTATTATTCATGTATCAAGATATAAAATCTAGACTTATCACAAGTCTAGACCTGAATGTATTTCTATAATCATGCTATGCATATGCACTCACCTAAATCTCTTTGCCTTTCCCTCGATCGATCTTACTTGTCCCTTGTTCCGGAACTCGTTTAGGCTCGATATCTACATGAACATAATTTTCGAGACAATTATCAAAATCCTAAACCTTGCAATTAACCTCTAACAACTTAAACAAATTTAATGAACCAATTTCAACTTTTCCTTTAGGGGGAATCGATTCCCCCCAGGGGTATCGGTTCCCTCCTCATAATCTGTAAATTTTATCCAGAAATTTACTGTTCAAATCCGAAAATCAACAATTCTTCACTAAATTTTCTCATACAAAATTCCTTTCATACCACCAAACTTAACTACAACCATTTTAACTAACTTCTATCATTTCACCACTTTAAAATCTCTCATCCTTCATTCAAATTCTTAAAGCTAAGAATCATACACAAATTTCAAACATGTTATTAATCAATTCTAACACTCTATATTCCTTAATTAACCTCTTGACAAGTCAAAAATCTTATTCAACCCTCAAAAACTCATCCATATCAAAATTTCATCTAAAAACCCATTTTTCAAATCTATCTCTAAAACATTTATCTTGTTGTTTTAATGTCATATAAGCTTTCCTTTAGCTTATATAACATCCAAACTTTAATTTCCAAGCTAAAAATCAAAGAAACGGCCAAGGTTTAGATTCTTACCTTAAGCTTGGGTGCTTCACGTTGAGAGAAGAATATGAAGAAGATAAGTTTCTTATCTCTTCAATTCATCCACATGGGTATTATAATACCCACAATTTATTATTTTATTCTTTTTTTTGTTCAATGACCCTTTTACCCTTTTACTTCTTATTTACTTATTAATTCATCCTACACCAACATCTTTTAATTAATTCCTTCACTTTTCGATTTATTTAATTTAGTCACTGAATTTTTAAAATCTTACACTTAAATCACTAACCCGGTATTGAGGATGTTACACGGCGACTGCAAGAGTGATTGACCATTCATTATCAAATGATTAAGAGTATTTAAAGCTGATGCATGTTTCTTTTATTGATATTCTTCTTGATCTTTGCTTCTATGAATATCCTTGGTTGTTTGCATTTTTTATGTGTGGTTTCTTTGTTCGCTTGTATATGATATTATTATATTTTCGATATATGAGTCAGTTAGTGGTTTTATGGACAAATACTATTTTTTTCATTTCGCCATAAGTCTACTGCATGGACTAGATATTCCACTGTCTACTCAGTTTCTGATTTCACTCTTCTCGTGATGTCATCTCTTGATCGTGTTTTCTTTTATATGGGTAGCAGCTTCTTTTCGATGATCAATCCTTTGTCCTCTCTAAGCCCTTCTCGTAATGATATTACGATACTGTGATTAAAGGGAGATTGATTTTTCATTCGTCCGTTTTGGATACTTTTCAAATTCTCTAGGTTCACTTTTGTTTATCAAGTTGTCACTAGTCGTTCACCGTTATATTTTATATACGATTGTCTTGAATATTTTTCGGATGTTATTCTAAAAGATGCCTTTTATGACTAATGCAACCTAAGGAGTTGTTTGTTTACTTCAGAATAATTAAGCGCTGAATGATTCAAATGCTAAATGATTCAGAGGCTCAGTATGAATTAGCTCTGAATGTGACATGATGTTTGATAATGGCTCTGAATCATTCAGAATATACTTCTGTGCTGAATCATTCAGCACTGTTTTGCTAAATCAATCAGCACTGAATCATTTAGAGGTGCGAAACAAACGCGCTGAATGTTGAACTGTTCAGCATTCAGCGCTGAATGGTTCCATTAAAAGGCAAACAAACAACCCCTAAGTAATTATTTCAATATATATATATTAGCGAGTCAATATGCATACTGATTTAACTCTTTGATAACAAAATGTATAAATCTATGACCATATTCTTTTGTGATGATTGTGCAAGTGACTCTACAGCGTAGAAGAGACAATCTTGCAATAACTAAACCAAAACAACAATCCTAAAGCATTGGAATCAACGGTTGTTTTACCCATTTACATAAAAAGAATCCTTCTAATTACAGTTTCATCATAATATCCTACAAACAAAAATAAGATCCCACATAATTAAGATTGCCTGTCACCACCAGTACATGGGAAGGAAAAAGAAGAGAAAACAGAAGCAGCTCCCTCTGTTACTAAGTTCATTGCTGATAAAACATAGTAAAAGAAACTAAAATTTAATGGGGCTCTATCTTGGTGACAGACATAGGAAAGCCCCCACTGTAAGCAAAAGATTCGTCACCGTATGGATTAGATCCTTTAGCTGCATCCTCATAAGTTGCCGAGCTTGCTGCCGATTCAGCGTTCGGGTTCATGCCGGCCATCTGCATAATGTCTTCAATCACCTTCACCATTTCACCCATTGTAGGCCTGTCTGCTCCTGATTCTTCAACACATCTCATTGCCAGGTCTACAAACCTTTCCAAGCCTTTGGATGATGTACCAAAACTAATACTTGGGTCCAGAATCTGTTGGAGGTTATACGAGCTTTTCGTTTTGTCCATCAACATTCTCACCTCTCTTACTATGTATTTCCCTCGCTCTATTGGTCTTCTTGCAGTTACTATTTCCAGCATCAACACTCCAAAGCTATAAACATCGCTCTTCTCAGTCAACTGTTGGGTCATATAATATTCAGGATCCAGATAACCCTACAACGGACACAAATAGTTCTTAGGACTGTAAATAATATTAGAAATAGAGTCATATCAGTAAACTTTTTGAACTCAGAATCCAGGTATTCGTAATTATAGAAATTTACAGCAGATGCTCAAATTACACCTTTCAAAAAAAGTCGGATTCATCTAGATGATTATTATGTAAACAATTTCATCTAATAAAACTACTATGGTTGCAGCAGATGCTTAAATGAATGAATGAAATCAACCTCTATAAAGGAAGGGATGGTCTAGGAGGAGATAATATCAGCATTTTTCTTGAAAGGAAAATTAACTAAATCTCAACACAAAAAAAGCTCTACGGGCACTGGCTGGCCCTTGTGCCTGAACACCATCGGCACCAGCTGACCTTGGTGCCTGAGCAACATTGCCAACAGCTGAGGTTGGTGCTCAAGTTTCTACAAATTTAAAGTCTGTAATATTGTGGGTGCGAGTCAGCGTAGGGAAGAACTCACCATTGTACCCTTCACTTGAGTACTAACATGACCCTTTTCACTGTCACCCATAGGTTTTGAGAGACCAAAATCAGCAACTTTAGCATTTAAGCGTTCATCTAATAAGATGTTAGTGGACTTGATGTCCCTGTGAATAATAGGAGGATTTGCAAGCTCGTGAAGATATGCCACACCTCTAGCTGCACCAAGGGCTATTTTTAGTCTCCTGCTCCAGTCCAATCTGATTCCTGACTTCCCTGCATTATTATAATGTGTTATTTTTCAAAGAAGTAAATCCATGAGTGCAGAAAAAGCTTTAGATATTGGGATAACGATAAATGCTTTCTTGGCGAGTTAAGGTCACTGTAAAATGCCATTTAATTATTGATGATGTAACCCAATCTGGAGTAATGAAGTGAGGAAATAGAGGAAGGTACCTGACAGACTGTCACTAAGTGAGCCATTAGGAACATATTCATATATTAGTATTTGTTCACCTAGCTCAAAGCAAAATCCTAGTAGACTAACAACATTTTTATGATGAACTCTAGATAGAAGCTCAATCTCTGTTTTGAATTCGACCCCACCCTGCAAAGATCCTTGCTGAGCTCGTTTGATGGCAACGAGCTCCCCAGTTGGTAGAGTTCCTCTATAAACCTGTAAATAAGGGAATTGAAAATTATTTGGAAAAGTAATTTTATATCTCAAATGACCATGCTAAAGAAATCCATTTCAGCAATACAAATACTTGCAGACAAAAAGGTAACATGGATTATTATTGTTACTATTGCTGCAAAATAATTTTATATGTGGAACTGTGGATGTGAGACCACCTCTAGCATGCATGTTTTTTTATAAACACATGCAAAACAGAGAGGAAGAGAGTCGAAATAAACCTTTCCGTAACCCCCTGATCCGATATCGTTCGCTTCTGTAAAATTGTTTGTGTATTTCTTAAGCTCTTCAAACCCGAAGCATCTTGCTCCTTTTAACTGAGGAATGCTACCACTGCTCTTCTTAGGATCCCAGTGTGCTATGTTTTCATGGAAGAGAATCAATACCTAGATATTCCACACAATTAACAGGAGAAGATTGAAAGAAATATTTATCATACCGAAAGGGTTGCTTTCTAGGGTTGCTCTTTCTGCTCTCTTCCTCTGACGATAAGCATAAATCCCAGCAAGGATTAATAGTACAAAAAGCACTGAAGCACCAGCTGCTGCTCCTATTGCGATGCCAGCAATTGATTTGCTTGAGTGTGCAGGTCCATCTATATGATACAGCACATATGCGAGGAAAACAATGAATCTAAATAAACATAAATTTACAAATTCATTTTAGTTCTATTGCAGGCGCATTACCAGAAAAGTACTCATATGAATCACCCCTAAAAACATAAGGTCCAAAGTATGTGTCAGGTGGTTTGTAATCCTGGCTGCTAAAGGCAGATGCAATCGCAGAAATTCCAGTTTTATTGAACCTATCTTCTCCATATGGAAATAATTCAAGGTCCAAGAGAAGATACTGATATGGATCCATCCGTGGATTTCTTAGTGAAACAGAATCCACAGGAAACTCGGGGAACTTGAAGAACTGTGTCAAGTCCTGCTCAAGGCTTTCGAATGGAGTTCGGTTTTGCAAGTTTGAGAAGAAAAGGCCTCTGAATTGTAGTTTCCCTGTGAATGGATATGCACATCTGCATCTGGGGCTGGAAATTTGATCAGAACTGCATAAATAAGGCTGACAGTTCTGAGGAGGGGTTGAATAAAAAGGTGAGGAATCTGGTGGCGGTAATGTACAGTAACGATTTGTTGCTCCTGACTCCCGGCACACTGGATTATCTACAAGTCTGCAGAAATTTGTAGAAAGAACTTTAGTGGTGTTAAAAGGTAAACTAATAATCTTTAAATCAACTATATCTATCTTCGGAAAATCAATATTCCAAAACGTATGACAATACAAGCCTAGTAATTCAGCAAATAATAGATAGACTAAAGAATTCCTACTTACATTATTTCAAATGTGTATTCTCCGGCAGTGATATTGAAATCAGTAATGGAATTACTCTGTAAATCTATGATCTCCAGCTGGTTGCTCATACCTGGGCCAATATCCAAGGAACCATCAAGGTTGTTGTGTTTTAGTACCCTGTCAACAATACAACAGCAAAAGGGGGCAAAATTCCAACCATCATTTCCCGAATGTGACTTTTTTTTTGGGTCTAGGGTCATGATTTTCCATTATAATGTGTAAGGTCAAGGATACTTACACAGTCTGCAACTGTTGAAGATTAAAGAATGAGGCAGGAATTTGACCTGTGAGTTGAGTATTTTCCATCACTCTGCCACACAAATGAACTGATTACTCTCCCAACTTCAGCAAAATACTTGTGAGAAAGAAAGTTATAATGTTACGGGTATCAAACTAGCACCAGCTTTAAGCATGTTTGGTTTAATATCATTTTAAGATAACATCGTGGAAATGCTTAAAAGAATTATGTTCAACACTTGAAACAATCAAAATGTTTCAAGATTCAGTTAACTTTCTCGTATCCTTGTCGGTGAAGAAAGAAAAGGAGTCAGAGAGAGAGAAAATACAATGTTGTTAAGGACGCCAGGGCTGGAAACCATGAAGGAACGTCTGTTGAATTAAAACTATTATTACTCAAGTATCTGCACATTATGCAATAGAACAAAGATTAGTAATAGTAATAAAAATGTGTACTGTCACCAAACAATATGACTATGATAATTGATAATCCAAATGCCACTGAGACACCTAAAGATATGCAGAACACAAATAAGACGACAGAGTGCAGTTTGAGATAGCTAAAGACTCGCAAAAGCATTTGTTACTTACAAGGTGTTCAAACTGCTCATTCCAGTAAGGTTGGGCAGAGGGCCAGTCAGACGATTATTGGACAAAAACCTGAAAATCAGCACCAAATTCTCTTAATTAAGAGAGGATAATAGTACCCTTCTGTCCTTGATAAACAAGTACAGAAGACCATCAGCCTTTTATGTTCATAGCTTACAGATCATGAACGCTTGTAAGGTTGTTGAGATTCGATGGAAGAACCCCATTCAGTGAATTGTTGTCAAAGCGTCTGTAGCAACACAATAATTTATTATTCCCGTAGAGAATACTCTTCCATAAAAAAACCTCAACATTAATCCGGTCAAGTACTTGGTCCAGATACTTACACCACCTCCAGAGATTTCACAAGCCCAAGGGTGGAAGGAAGAGCCCCAGAAAGCCTGTTGCTTTCCAATAGCCTGGCAAAGAGATAGAAAAATAATTGTTTCAAATATACAAAAACTGATGCATGCAGAAGGAGCAGAAACGAGAGAAAGTATTCATGTCCCTCTCTCCTTAGAAAGGATGGCTTCAAATATGAAGAAGATGCGGCCTTTTATATATATGGACTGTTGAAAGTTCAAAGTTGAGAGAGAAGAGTTATGGGGAAAAATGTTATTAAAATGTGCCTTATTTTCTTCTTGCAAGGTTCTTTCTTTGTAAAGTCAATAGGTAGCAGAAACTACGGATATAAAACAGAATGGCACTTACAAATGTATCAGAGTCATTTCTGAACTGAAAAGTTTAGATGGAATTGGACCAGAGAGTTGATTCTTCCCAAAATGGCTGTCAATAATGGAGAACATCGTTACTATGTGAATAAAATAGAACCATGGCAAGAAAAACATCTAAAAGACATACTACAAAGAAAGTTGACATACAAGTGTTTGGTATGAATCAACCAGTCAAGCCCAGGTGTAGTAGGTCCATCTGAAACCGGAATTTCTCCATGAAGCTGGTTGTCAGCCAGATCTAACCAATAAAGGTTTGATAGATTACCAATGGACCGTGGAATAGGCCCAGTGAATCCATTAGAATTTAGAGATCTGTAGGTAATACAGGCCAGCATGAAAGCACTCTGATTAAAAGATAGAATAAAAAGTAGAACTAGAGAAGCCAAAACATCATACAACTGAAATTGTTTGTCATTTGAGAGGAATGAGAATTAAAGGTCAAATTCTTACAGGACCCTCAGCTGTGGCAAAGAACCTATTGTATCGGGAATTGGACCGAAGAAACCACAACCAACCAAGATTCTGTCATTCATATAACAAAGAAAAAAAAGATATAAGAAAATAGCAAAAGAAGAAGAAGAAGAAAGAACTGCTTTCAGTTGATGCTTTTTCAGGAAATATATCCCCTTACAAGTTTATTAGGTTCTTTAAATTTCCAATCGTTGGTGGAAGAGATCCCCCGATACCTTCATTGTAAGATAGATCCCTGAAAAATGAAGCCAAATCAAAGATGTTAAACTAATCATGACCATAAACACTAGTGCATCCAGCTACTTCATGAAAAAAGAGAGGATAAATCATTCCTTGAAAAATATGAAAGAAACAAATTTTATCTTTATTTGTAGGTCTATAGGAATTAGCATATCCCTTGCATCCAAGGAGCAGAGGAAGAAGGATAAGAACTAAAAAATTAATGTTTAGAAGGATTGTTCAGAAAATCCAATTGCACAATGACATCTATGAATAATGGAATCAGATAGTAGGCAAAAGGACCTACAATTCTTGTAATTCGGATAGGCTGAAAACATCTCCCGTCAGCCGTCCCTCCAATTTCATGCCTGGCAGTTTTCTGAAACAGAGAAAAAAATGTTAGCAAGATCCCAAAGGCAGACCAACGAAACTAAACAAAGTTTTAAGAAAGTAGAAGCACCAACAACTTACAATGAGATCACACGTGAATCACGGCAGCCAGTTCCAACCCATTTATCATCACAAGGATCCCCACTTCCCCAATTAGATGGTAAATTTTTCCACTCATCCATGAGAGATCTTAGAGCACTAGCTGCACAAACAGTTTCGGTTTCTCTTGATCAGAACCAGAGCTAAAGTCTGAGGTAGCAGTTCCAAATCATTTGACATAAACTTGTATGGAATGGAAGGAATACAAATAGATTTAGCCCCTTAATTTGACTAACCAATAACATATTCTCCAAAGCAAACCTAAAGAACCAACCGAAACCATACTATAAGAAACAAAATAAGAAGTGATTAGAAGCAAACTTACCATCATCAGGGTTAGTTGCAGCTGCTATGATATAGATATGAATAGAAACAACTAACAAAAATAACCAAACGACTGAACCCATTTTGTGAGATAAACCAAAGGATTCAGAGAGTTCAAAGAGTCAAAGACCTGGAAACTATTTGGTTTCTGTTTCTAAATTTTGCATAACATAGAACATCATCCATTTAACATTAATCAGTCTCAATTCAGGAAGCAAATTCTTCAAATGCAAATGAGAACACGAGCTATATCAAAAGCAAGAAAGGGTAAGAAACACGAGAGTTTGAATGGATTTAAAAGTTGCAAATTGGCCCGATAGGATTAGAATAAAAATCTTGGTTTTTCATGTCCCTTTATTGTTTTATTCAACATAGGTAGAAGATTTGAAAGTCAATGTGATTAAGTATGTGACTAATAGCTGGAGCCCGCGAAGTGGTATGCTGGTATATTAAAATATGAAAGTCCATTGATTCTTGCTTAAAAACAAAGCCAAAAAAGCCGAGCGCATTGCAAAGAAATGCAATGCAACAAACAATCTTCTCCTACGAAAATAAATGTCGTTTTCGAAGAAACATTCAAACCAAGAAAGTGACAACGACTTTAACTTGTACAAATGATGAGGACTTAGAGGAAGAGAATCAAACCTACCGCTGATATTTTAAACTCTAAAGCCTGAGCTTTTAATTATTAGGCCGTTCCCACACGCCTTGGATTCATTGTTCGTCTTCTTCCTACAGAATTGTCAAAGGCAATGGCACTGTCGATGCTCAATGATCATGTGACGTAAGAAATGCGTGGGCAACTCCAAACAGTGGTGGGTTAGAGCTGAGATTGACGACCAAAGAGGTTTTATGTCGTCAAAATCTTCAAGCCATGCAGATGAAGGCAAAGAAAGAGGGACACTTTCGGGCTACTGTTTGAGTTGGAAATCAATTAATACCAATAATTTCGAAAACCGAAAACGTCATCATCTCCTTACACAAGCTAAGTAGGTTGAAAATTACATAATTGATATGTATAAAAAAAATTACTCATATATATCTCGTAGTTAAGGTTGGTTTCAACGTATAATTTGATGTTATGACTTTAAAATTCAATTTGGTATTAATTTTTTTTGTTTCAATTAGGTAGAGCTGAGCAAAAAAACTCATTGAATATAATCGAAATATTTGGATGATTTATGAAATATGAATTTAAAAATATTATTCAAATCGAATCAAAGTTATTTTATTTTATTTTAATTTTATAATATAAAAAAATAAATATATTTCAATAATGAAAATAAAGTACAAAATTATACAAGAATAAATAATTGTTTTTATGTGTTTGAAAATTTATTTTTTAAAAATAATATATGATTTTTTTTTTGATAAATAATGACTGTAAAAACTAAATAAGCAGCCTCGCTACTCAATAAATCTTTATGTAACATTGTAACTCCGTGTTTACTATTACAGGAGGGTCAGAAAACTTGATGCATGCATAAGTGCTCATATCTGTCAATTTCGCCATACCGTCGCTATATTCTCATTGCGATGGACATGTTGGAACCACACCTCCCAATCTCGTTTCAACAATTCAGCAATATGTTCCACAAGTGTTATCCGACTACGGCCAACTGCAGCTAGCTGAATCGTCTTCATGGTCTCCAGACTATCAATCTCCATGATGATTTGATCTCCCCCCCAAATCCCATGCACATAACACACCCATGTAAACTCCTCAAATCTTAGCTTCAAGAACAGAACATATACCGATGAATTTAATGAAACTCAATCTTTAAACTCCCTCGTGGTTTTGAATAACGCCTCAACACCTTCAATTTAATTGATCTCACACCTACAATTAGATAATCGAATTTAATTTATTGGTTCAAATTGATTATATAAACTTTATTTTTAATACAAATTAATACTTGTGATAAATGATTCATTTAAGTTCACATAAACTATACAACTAAATTTAAATGGCTTAAATATACAAAAGGTGTCCAACGTATGCCCGTTTTTCCAGTTTAATGCCTAACGTTTTTTTCGTTCTAGTTCGGTGCCTAATGTTTCATTCCGTTACTCAAAATGGGTCACACCGTGTCGGACTATTAGTTTTATCTGTTAAGTGACACATGTCACAATCTGGTAATTTTAAAAAATTTATTTGAAATTAAAAAAAATAAAATTATATATTTTTTAAAAAAGAAAGCACAAAATTTTTGAAATAACCCCAAAACTTTAAAAACCTTCATTTCAACCCATTAACCTTTAACTGTTCGGCCCCCCCTCTTCCAAGCTCGTCCACTCGGCGACGGTGGCTTACCAAACTGGTTGGGTTTTGGTCAGACAGGACTGGCGAGCTCAACTTCGGTGGCGGTGAGGTGAAAAGGCGGCAATTTCAACCAGAAATCGCAAAAATCGAACGGTGATGGGGGCTTTTCGTCGAACTTTCAAACGTCACTCCACCACGAACGGCGGTGACTGGAGGCGAGTGGATGACTGGGATATGACCGGTTCGGGACGGTGCTTCCATTGGGCTAGGCAGTAATGACTCTCGACGAGCGGTGACCGAGGTTGGAGGTGGGCGACCGAATGGTTTCCTTGCGATTAAGCTTGACGATGATCGATTTCAGGTGATATGAGGGTCGGGTTGAGGTCATTGGTTGCTGCTGAGTTCGGTGGGAGCGCCGGTGTACACCACCACCGGTCGGAGAAGGGTGGTTCGGTGACAGAGTTAAAGGGTTAACGGGTTGAAATGAATGTTTTTAAAGTTTTGGGGTTATTTCAAAAATTTTGTGTTTTGTTTTTTAAAAAATATATAATTTTTTTAATTTTAAATAAAATTTTAAAATTAACAAATCGTGACACGTGCCACTTAACGGAGAAAATTAACTGTTCGTCATGGCGTGACCCATTTTTAGTAACAGAATGAAACGTTAGGCACCAAACTGTAACAAAAAAAACGTTAGGCACTAAACTAAAAAAATAGGCATACATTGGGCACCTTTTATATATTTAAGCCAATTTAAATATCAAACTGAAGTTAAAAAATTAAATTCAAGTATTTAATTTTAAATTTTAAAAATTTAAATTATATTTTAGATTTAAATTTAAATATAAAATATATATATTTAATATAACAAAATCAAAATCCATCAAGCGGCCTCGATGATAAAAGAGAATATTTTAGAGATTCCGAGTTTAAAGAATCATATATGTAGAGTGTATGTATCTTATCAATGATTAAGAAAATTTTGAATCATTTGTTCCCTTAATTAAATCCACAAGACAATATGGGAATCAAAGCTAGAGGGCAAGCAGAACTATTTGTTTAACCATTTTCTAAACTGAATCATTTAAGTCCTTCAGTACTTGGATAAATAGAAACATTACATTTTCAATCTTTTCTTAAATATTAATTTAATTTAAATTTCTTTGAATATTTCAACCATAAAATTTTATGGGTTTTTTTTTATCTTTTAAAGAATTATGATTCGTCTTTAGAGTGCGTACTAATTGATCATGATAGGTTCCTACTCTTCTAGTTGATCATAGAATAAGTCAGATTTTTCAACATTAAAAGGAAAAGCCACGTTTCTTGACAAACTACAATGACACAACTAAGCATTAACATATATCTTGTAGACCAAACCACACTACCGATAGAGCGCCCCCACCACGCCTCCACTCACATGTGAAATTCAACTAATAAGACTCAAATTAAAAAAGATAGCAAATAATCAACAAATAGCTTACACAATTACATATTCAACCATGAGAAGCAGAATCTAGAGATGTATATTTATCTTTGCTATCCTCCAGTTGAATCAAACGACTAACGGCCTCTCCTGAACCTTTTTGTGTCATAAAATTTGAGCCCACCTTTCTAACATTTTAGTAACATAATCTTTAATATATTAATTAATTGACAAATAAAAAACCCGTTGATTCAAGATGAAGCTGAACACGAGATGGGGGATGGAGTGAAAGCTCCGATACAGATTCATCAGTCTCTCTTCTCTCTCTGTCCGATTCTGATCACCAAGTGCAGGAGGTTCCAGTGTCTCTCTCGGACTTCAACATCTGGAGGGGTGACGCTGATCAATGTTCCTGCGCATGATCTTATAGCTTCAATCTGGTCGGCTTCATCTACCTAGATTACTTGATATTCCGAATGGGGTTACAACAATGTAGGAAGTCAGTACGGGGTTCATACCGCTGGGCTTCCTCAATGTTCCATGCACAGATCAAAGGATGCTGGATATGGAGTGAAATGAACTTGTGAACTGAGATAAAGACATTCAATTCCAAATATTTAATCGTGAATTCCCTTCGGTCACTGCAGATGTGTTTGAATCTGTCGATACATCTGTTCTAACTAATTGGTTCGCAGAGATACAATTATGGGACCTGAATTCTACACACATATCTCATGAATCATATCCCTCCTCTCACTTGTTACTATCTCCGCGTAGTGATATATGTACAACTTTGGTACTTTGGCTTCAACATTTGCACTGCTACCTTGTATTCCTCTTCTTGCAGGGATGGAAGAGTATTTTTGGCTTCCTGTGCTGTTGCGGTGTCGGCATTATCTTCGGCTTGTGTAGCTCTCAGCTCCAAGCTATCTTCACTAATTCCACAGCATTTCCATCATCGTTTGAAGTCCCTGTTTTAACTGGTACTGGTGTTATAGCTAGTCCATGTTCATACGAATCTGATTTGGTTTCGCATAATTCTAGCAATACAGTAGATCGATTTGATGAGAATGTGCAGCTTTCATTGCCAACATTAGTTCCAGAACTATATAGTCATGTCAATACTTTTAATATTCCTTGCCCATTCGATGCAACCTTGGGACTGCTTTTGCTTCGGTTTCTTTGTGTGGGGAACAGATTCAGTCGGTGTTTACCTCAATCCACCCAGCCGAGACTACTTTTGGGAACACTTTCCTTAGACGACACTAGCGAATCGCACCAAAATATGGATCAAATACAAGCTGGTCGTAACGCATCTTTAGGCCCTCAATCATTTGCATCATATTCAGGGTCACCCAACCAGTCCCAAACTTCAAGCAAGAAGCGAAATAGAAGCCAATAGGATGAATATTCGATCGAATGATTTAAAATTTAACTTAAAATTTAACTTAAAATTTTAAATATTAATTTAATAAAAAATATAAATATTACAAAAATAAATTTATCATTATATTTATAATATTTATTCTAAATCTATTTTTTAATACTATGAGGTGATTACAAGATAGTATCTATTCAGAATCGTACATATACAATTATTTGAACTTGAATCCTTAAAGAAAACAACATTTTTTTAACAATCGAGACTAGGGGTGCTTATCAAGCAAGTCGATCGTGAGTTCGATAGTGCTTGACTCGTGCTCGTTAAATTTTT